GAATCTGGTGAATGAGTGTTACAAACATACAGGTGATTACAATGTTATACAATATAGACACAGGCAGTGTTACAAACATACAGGTGATTACAATGTTATACAATATAGACACAGGCAGTGTTACAAACATACAGGTGATTACAATGTTATACAAATATAGACACAGGCAGTGTTACAAACATACAGGTGATTATAATGTTATACAAATATCATAGATACAAAAAATGTTACAAATAAAATGAATAATTTCCAAATCATACGACAAAATAATATAAAAATGATGGTATCTATAACAATATCATACAAAGTGCTGTAAGTTTTTTTTGAAAAGCAAGAATGAAAGTTTTGTTTTGTCGTGTTTCTGCTGAGTATGTATCTAACTGAATTATACATTGGTCTGGTTTGTTTGTTGAACAATAAAAGAATTATTATCATAAGTAATAAAACTATTTACTTCATAAGTTATATAATCATCTACTATTCTGTGAGCACATGTGTGAGTATCGTACTCAGTGTATAGGACACTCCTCTAGGCAATTGATAATAGGCCTGTATTATGTTATTACAACTATGGTGTTTGTCAAAATTTTAAATAACCCTAACCATAGAAAAAAAATAATCCAAAAAAGCAATATTTGACCTTTCTCTGTAAAATTACAAAGGACCTTTAAGCAAAAAGAATTTCTGTGTTAAAGAGAAAATAGGTTTGTGTTATTCTTTGACAATAACCAAAAGGCTGATTACATACAGTGTATCACTATTACCAAGGTTTTGTATAAAATCATTATTGTAACATATACAGAGCCTGAATTCACATGCCTGTCAAAATTTCTGACTTTTTCTGGGTTAGTAAAATGATACATGTGATATATGACTGCCGATATTGGGTCTGTAGCACAAATCTGATAAAATCTGAACTTGTTTGTGGTATCCCTACAATTGTCACTTTAACCTGCTTTTTTTTGAAAAGCAAGAATGTATGTATCTAACTGAATTATACATTGGTCTGGTTTGTTTGTTGAACAATAAAAGTTCATAAGTAATAAAACTATTTACTTCATAAGTTATATAATCATCTACTATTCTGTGAGCACATGTGTGAGTATCGTACTCAGTGTATAGGACACTCCTCTAGGCAATTGATAATAGGCCTGTATTATGTTATTATACTATGGTGTTTGACCCTAACCATAGTAAAAAAAAATAATCCAAAAAAGCAATATTTGACCTTTCTCTGTTTGACCTTTCTAAAGAATTTCTGTGTTAAAGAGAAAATAGGTTTGTGTTATTCTTTGACAATAGACGTGATACATACATACAGTGTATCACTATTACCAAGGTTTTGTATAAAATCATTATTGTAACATATACAGAGCCTGAATTCACATGCCTGTCAAATTTTCTGACTTTTTCTGGGTTAGATGATACATGTGATATATGACTCTTAGCACAAATCTGATAAAATCTGAACTTGTTTGTGGTATCCCTACAATTGTCACTTTAACCTGCTTTTTTTGTGGTAGTTTGATTCACACTGGGTAAGTGTTGACTGCTGGGGTCCTGTAATAAGCCCACCCCCTGACACTGAGTAAGAAGTAATGTTTTGATTGCTGGGGTCCTGTAATGACCCCTTCCCCTGACACTGAATAAGAAGTAATGTTTTGACTGCTGGGGTCCTGTAATAAGCCCACCCCATGACACTGAGTAAGAAGTAATGTGTTGACTGCTGGGATCCTGTAGAAAGTCCAACCCCCTGACACAGGGCTCATTACAAGGTAAATACAGTGTTGAGTCTGTAATATTTGATAATCTGTTTTTAAAGGTATCAGGTTACATATTTTCTTAAATACTTCCTTTATTGTAGCCTTAAAAGAATTAATGGCAAGCATTTCACTCTCATATATTTAACCCTTAGTGAGACTACAGGGCTGTATGTATGTGTTGTTTGTTATTCAGAGGGAAATTTATCTACAGAATTTTTTAATCAAGGGACAGGCTTATCAACAGGCAATTGTGCCCAACACTAATGAAAATACTCATTAATTTACATCTGATAATCTTTTAAGGATGGAACCTTAACTATAATTGAGTATATCTGTTTTAAAATATGCAAAGACCAGGTATTTCTACTGTAAAATCCTAATTTTGTGGGGGATATATATTCATCGTTTGATGAATACTCTTAATCCATGCTGATATATGCCCACAAGCTGATAGATAAGTATAGCTAGAGGTACTCAGCTATAGTTCTACACCAAATTAATGATAGATAAGTATGGAGGTACTGGCTATAGGTCCACCAAATTAATGATAGATAAGTATAGAGGTACTCAGCTATAGTTCTCCACCAAATTAATGATAGATAAGTATAGAGGTACTCAGCTATAGTTCTACACCAAATTAATGATAGATAAGTATAGCTGGAGGTACTCAGCTATAGTTCTACACCAAATTAATGATAGATAAGTATAACTGGAGGTACTCAGCTATAGTTCTACACCAAATTAATGATAGATAAGTATAGAGGTACTCAGCTATAGTTCTACACCAAATTAATGATAGATAAGTATAGAGGTACTCAGCTATAGTTCTACACCAAATTAATGATAGATAAGTATAGAGGTACTCAGCTATAGTTCTCCACCAAATTAATGATAGATAAGTATAGAGGTACTCAGCTATAGTTCTACACCAAATTAATGATAGATAAGTATAGCTGGAGGTACTCAGCTATAGTTCTCCACCAAATTAATGATAGATAAGATGGAGGTACTCAGCTATAGATATACACCAAATTAATGATAGATAAGTATAGAGGTACTCAGCTATAGTTCTACACCAAATTAATGATAGATAAGTATAGAGGTACTCAGCTATAGTTCTCCACCTATAGTTCTACACCAAATTAATGATAGATAAGTATAGAGGTACTCAGCTATAGTTCTACACCAAATTAATGATAGATAAGTATAGAGGTACTCAGCTATAGTTCTACACCAAATTAATGATAGATAAGTATAGAGGTACTCAGCTATAGTTCTACACCAAATTAATGATAGATAAGTATAGAGGTACTCAGCTATAGTTCTACACCAAATTAATGATAGATAAGTATAGAGGTACTCAGCTATAGTTCTCCACCAAATTAATGATAGATAAGTATAGCTGGAGGTACTCAGCTATAGATCTACACCAAATTAATGATAGATAAGTATAGAGGTACTCAGCTATAGTTCTACACCAAATTAATGATAGATAAGTATAGAGGTACTCAGCTATAGTTCTACACCAAATTAATGATAGATAAGTATAGCTGGAGGTACTCAGCTATAGTTCTCCACCAAATTAATGATAGATAAGTATAGAGGTACTCAGCTATAGATCTACACCAAATTAATGATAGATAAGTATATAGGTACTCAGCTATAGTTCTACACCAAATTAATGATAGATAAGTATAGAGGTACTCAGCTATAGTTCTCCACCAAATTAATGATAGATAAGTATAGAGGTACTCAGCTATAGTTCTACACCAAATTAATGATAGATAAGTATAGAGGTACTCAGCTATAGTTCTACACCAAATTAATGATAGATAAGTATAGAGGTACTCAGCTATAGTTCTACACCAAATTAATGATAGATAAGTATAGCTAGAGGTACTCAGCTATAGTTCTACACCAAATTAATGATAGATAAGTATAGAGGTACTCAGCTATAGTTCTACACCAAATTAATGATAGATAAGTATAGAGGTACTCAGCTATAGTTCTACACCAAATTAATGATAGATAAGTATAGAGGTACTCAGCTATAGTTCTACACCAAATTAATGATAGATAAGTATAGAGGTACTCAGCTATAGATCTACACCAAATTAATGATAGATAAGTATAGAGGTACTCAGCTATAGTTCTACACCAAATTAATGATAGATAAGTATAACTGGAGGTACTCAGCTATAGTTCTACACCAAATTAATGATAGATAAGTATAGAGGTACTCAGCTATAGATCTACACCAAATTAATGATAGATAAGTATAGAGGTACTCAGCTATAGATCTACACCAAATTAATGATAGATAAGTATAGAGGTACTCAGCTATAGATCTACACCAAATTAATGATAGATAAGTATAGAGGTACTCAGCTATAGTTCTACACCAATGGGTCCTGCAAGGTAAAGTTCAAGTATTTCCAGATTTTTATTCTCAAAAATCCATGAAATATTAAACCCTTGAAAAAACATAATTTTAAAGAAATAATTTGTGCATATTTGCATGGCACACAATGCCACCCTCTGAACTAAACACATGTAGGAGAGTGATTTATCATACAATAAATGACACCCAGCATGTGGCCGTTATTACATCATTATCATGGACAACGGAACAGTTCAGGAGTTCCACTTGATGTATTTATATTGTTGTTGATGAATGATAATTATGTCAAAATAGATCAGCTAGCATTTATAGTCAATATAAATGACAATTATGGTGTGAAGTTCTGTCATTTAAGTAGATCGTAAATGCCATATCAGAACTGTTCCATGCACTAAGGTCTGAAGTAAAGTTGGATGTGTAACATGGTGGGTTTATTTACAATGCATCTGTCCTTGGCATTTCACTACATTAATTCTTGCTAAACAGCCTGATTTTCACGATTAGATTTTCGTATAAAAATTTTGTTATCAGAATAAAAGTAATTATTGTTTATTGGTTATATCATCAAATAAAAACATTTAATTCTTTAATTCTACAATTCTTCTTCATTTACATATTTCTATCCAACAGTTGATACCAAAAGCCATTTGTCTCACTGTGCTGTCTGACTCTATGTCAGGCTGTTGTGTGGAGTGTATACGACACTGTGTTCTGTGATAGCTCTGATAAAACCTGTCTGACTCTGGGTCTTAAAGCTGTTGTATGGTGTGTATATACTACAGTGTGTTCTGCGATAGCTCCAGTAAAAACCTGCCTGCTGTAGGTGTGAGCTGTTCAATTGTATTCAACAGAGGAGAGCCTGTACAGCTCACAGATTACTGGTTCTGTTTGTGCTGTAGTATTTTCTCTGGCATTGATGGAGGAAGTGCTAGGACAGTACCAATGTGGCATAAAGTATTGTGGCATTACAGTGGCATTTTAGTGGCATCCTTGTGATACTGTAGTGTTTGAATTCTGTGTGTGATATTCCTGGAAATATAGATTTGTATATAAGATTGTACAGGGACATATCATTGGTATCTACTGGGAGGCTGCAGTGTTTATATGTACTGCATCAGCAGGGATTGTACACCTCTCACCAAACAGGTAAAGGTCCGTTATCACAGGTAAATGTGTGACAGGTGAATACACAGTAAATATTTTATTACAGGTATATATTTATTATTGCAGGTAAATATTCATCATCAGTGGTAAATGTGCCTTGTCTATAGCAGATGTATATTATCAATAGTAAACACCTATCATTACAGATGAGTGTGTGTATTAATACAGGTGAGTATTTGTGCTAATACAGGTGAATGTGTGTATCATTGCAGATGTGTATGTGTGTTAATACAGGTGAGTATGTGTGTTATTACAGGTGAGTGTGTGTAGATACAGGTGAGTGTGTGTGTGAATACTTTATTACATTGTATGTTAGGAGATAGGAGAGACGGTGAGATGTCTATATACTAGCACACAGCTCTGTCCAGGTCTCAACAGTTAAACATGGTAAGTACAGCACCAGGTTTGTTAGTGGAACATGCTGCTATAGAGTGGACTAGAACACTGAATTGTAGGGAAGATTAGACTGGTATATTTGTCAGGCTCAATTAACCTCAGTATTTGTACATTATGACAATATTGTACAAAAAAGTGAATGCCTGCCATCTTGGTTACCATACTGCGTTTTTGGTTGCCTTGGTCCCCCCTTCCCCATGGATATACCATGCTGACTACATACTACCTATCTTTCTTCCAAAAATTCTCTACTCCTCACCTCAGTCTCCGTTCTCAGTGATTTTACACTCATTTTTCCCTGTCCCTACCCATAAAAATCCTATACTCCTCACTCCTGTCTCTACCTCCAGAGATTCCATACTCCTTGCCCTTGTCCCTACCTCTATAGATTCCCAACTCCTCACCCCTGTCCCTACCCATAAAAATCCTATACTCCTCACCCCTGTCTCTACCTCCAGAGATTCCATACTCCTCACCCCTGTCCCTACCTCCACAGATTCCCAACTCCTCACCCCTGTCCCTACCTCCACAGATTCCCAACTCCTCACCCCTGTCCCTACCTCCACAGATTCCATACTCCTCACCCCTGTCCCTACCTCCACAGATTCCATACTCCTCACCCCTGTCTCTACCTCCACAGATTCAATACTCCTCACCCCTGTCCCTACCTCCACAGATTCAATACTCCTCACCCCTGTCCCTACCTCCACAGATTCCATACTCCTCACCCCTGTCCCTACCTCTATAGATTCCATACTCCTCACCCCTGTCCCTACCTCCACAGATTCAATACTCCTCACCCCTGTCCCTACCTCCACAGATTCCATACTCCTCACCCCTGTCTCTACCTCCACAGATTCCATACTCCTCACCCCTGTCCCTACCTCCACAGATTCCATACTCCTCACCCCTGTCCCTACCTCCACAGATTCCATACTCCTCACCCCTGTCTCTACCTCCACAGATTCCATACTCCTCACCCCTGTCCCTACCTCTATAGATTCCATACTCCTCACCCCTGTCCCTACCTCCACAGATTCCCAACTCCTCACCCCTGTCCCTACCTCCACAGATTCCATACTCCTCACCCCTGTCCCTACCTCCACAGATTCCATACTCCTCACCCCTGTCCCTACCTCCACAGATTCCATACTCCTCACCCCTGTCCCTACCTCCACAGATTCCATACTCCTCACCCCTGTCCCTACCTCCACAGATTCCATACTCCCCACCCCTGTCCCTACCTCTATAGATTCCATACTCCTCACCCCTGTCCCTACCTCTATAGATTCCATACTCCTCACCCCTGTCCCTACCTCCACAGATTCAATACTCCTCACCCCTGTCCCTACCTCCACAGATTCCATACTCCTCACCCCTGTCCCTACCTCTATAGATTCCATACTCCTCACCCCTGTCCCTACCTCCACAGATTCAATACTCCTCACCCCTGTCCCTACCTCCACAGATTCCATACTCCTCACCCCTGTCCCTACCTCCACAGATTCCATACTCCTCACCCCTGTCCCTACCTCCACAGATTCAATACTCCTCACCCCTGTCCCTACCTCCACAGATTCAATACTCCTCACCCCTGTCCCTACCTCCACAGATTCCATACTCCTCACCCCTGTCCCTACCTCCACAGATTCAATACTCCTCACCCCTGTCCCTACCTCCACAGATTCAATACTCCTCACCCCTGTCCCTACCTCCACAGATTCAATACTCCTCACCCCTGTCCCTACCTCCACAGATTCCATACTCCTCACCCCTGTCCCTACCTCCACAGATTCAATACTCCTCACCCCTGTCCCTACCTCCACAGATTCAATACTCCTCACCCCTGTCCCTACCTCCACAGATTCAATACTCCTCACCCCTGTCCCTACCTCCACAGATTCAATACTCCTCACCCCTGTCCCTACCTCCACAGATTCAATACTCCTCACCCCTGACACATTGTTCCATTACCCAGAATTCCCCACCACCCCTGACATTGTTCCATTGAATTCCCCATCACCCCTGACACATTGTTCCATTACCCATTCCCCCCATCACCCCTCCCTACCTCCACAGATTCAATACTCCTCACCCCTGTCCCTACCCCCAGTTCTCCTACCTTCAGTCTCCATCTCCAGAACTATTAACTGCTTGCTGTGGTGTTCAACATGCGTAACAATCAGTGAGACCATTTCTCTGTTTTACAGCTCTAATGATTTCTGTAGCATTGACACACAATGTGGAAAGTTACTGTAGTCACCTAATAGCCAAAGGTTTGTGTAGTTAATACCAACAGAATGAAAAGAGGTCAATATATTTTACATTTACTTTTTTAAAATTTCAATATCTTTTAATGGTCAGTGATTATTTGTCTGAAGATATTTTGTACTTGTACCTGATAGATATTAAAGATTTCTGAAGAGTTCAGTGTGACTGTTCATTGGAGCTTTACTGGAATATATACCCAGGATTCCCCATCACCCCTGACACATTGTTCCATTACCCAGAATTCCCCATCACCCCTGACACATTGTTCCATTACCCAGGATTCCCCATCACCCCTGACACATTGTTCCATTACCCAGAATTCCCCATTACACCTGACACATTGTTCCATTACCCAGAATTCCCCATCACCCCTGACACATTGTTCCATTACCCAGAATTCCCCATCACCCCTGACACATTGTTCCATTACCCAGGATTCCCCATCACCCCTGACACATTGTTCCATTACCCAGAATTCCCCATCACCCCTGACACATTGTTCCATTACCCAGAGTTCCCCTTTACACCTAGATTAATGAATTTCAACACCTAATCAAACCCCATTTAAGCATCTGAAGATGAATAATAAAACTACTAATGCCAAACACAATGTGTGTATATTCCTTTTTTTTGCATTGAAATCCAAGTGCTGAGAAATGTTAGATTTTGTCGGTATATTTTACATATGTATATATATATATATTTAAAGTAGATATTTATAGACATACATTGTATACCTTTTGCACAACATGTTAATTTACTACACAGTTCCCTATGCTTCAAACAAATAAAAAGAGACAACTTTATATATTATTGCACTTCTATACAACATCTTTGGCTTCAGACCAAACATACACAATTATCATTGGAGCAAAAAACTATCAACAGTGGCATGTGAAGGTGGAAAAAATAGAGTAGGGAACACTTGTGTTTCATTTTCAAGTCTTCAGTATCACACTGCGGGATACTGGGAAAAGTGCAGCAATTTACGTAAAACACGCAGAGATATGATAGCAGTAGCGACATTGATATGTTTAAAAGGTTTCACACTGAGTGGAGTAGAAGTGGTATGGAGAGTGTCACCTTAAAATATCACTGTTACACACCTTCACATAAGTCAGTAGATACATTTAGAACCTCGCGTTGCTCGTCCCTCTGTCTCAGTCTGTCATTCATGTCTGGTTTCTTCAACAAGATAACTATCGTTGAGATTCCTTCAAAGAAGAATGCCAGAATGTTTTAAATATCATTATGTGGCCAAACTCTGCTGTCTTGCAAATAATGATATATTGTTATATTTAGGATTTAACAAATTTCCAAGACCAAGGTCAAGGCCAAGATCAGGCCAAGGTCAGAGCCACCAAGAAGTTTGTCAGGGCAAATGGTTTTGATTAACAGTTAGTGTACAAGGGTGAAATAAGGAGATTCTCCAACTTCTGACAATTTATGTGAATTATTGTAGAACGAAAATAGAATATTACATAAACACACCATACACAATAAGTCGTACGATAGCAATCTACACAAGCAGCAGGAAAGTTTTACAAGTAGTTTCAACCCTTCAACCACCAACCTTATCACCTTCTCATATATAAAGGAAAAAGAATGAAGTGAAGCGTTGATGTGTATTTGCGTGTTTGAAGTTTTAAAAAGTTTAAAAATTCCTGATAGTGAATGTTAAAGTCATGTGAGGAGGGTTTTAATGTTCTCACAACATCCAGGGTTGTATACAATTACAACGAAGGTCAAACAATAATACCAACATCCTTGTAAGACATGCAGTGACAATATATTATAGATTATATAACAACAGATTATGTCGTAATAAAGACTCGGTCGTTACATTGTTACCAAAATATATGTTTATATGTAATGTGCTTTATAGAATAGATTAGTATACTTCAATTATCTTGTTAAAAACAAGCAATGAAATGTTTGTTTGTTTGTTTAACATTAAATCAAAACCTAGATTTGACAAGAATAGGGTAAAATATGAACAAAAGAAAAAATTTCCAAATGTAAAATGAAACACTTGATAGTTAGCTACAATAAGCCTGTGCCTGGTGTTTATCTCATCCTTATCTATTGTTATATAGAATTACAAATCACTTCCTTGTCATTCTCCTGTAATAAGCCCACCCCCTGACTATGAGTCTGTGGTAATGTGTTGACCCACTGAGGTCCTGTGATAAGCCCCTTTTGAGTCTGAAGTAATGGGTTGGTCCTCTGGGATACAATAATAAGCCCACCCCCTGACTATGAGTCTGTGGTAATGTGTTGACCCACTGAGGTCCTGTGATAAGCCCCTTTGAGTCTGAAGTAATGTTGGTCCTTT